AATGGAAAAAAGGAGTGATCGGAATCCGGCGGCGCGATGGAGATTTGCATGGCGTCTCATTTGCGAGTCACCGCCAGGCGCCATTATTTTGGCGGGATGGCTGGCGACGCAGTGGGCGCCGTCTGTAGGAAGCATAGCTCCAACGAAAATGAACAAATTTGCGCTCAAGTCTTTCTTTTTTTCACCCGCTTTTGTGAATGTGAAATGGGAGCCTTTTGCTGGGCTCTGTTGTTTGGCGCCGTGACGGGTAACAAGCTCTGCACCGAGATGCACAGCGACGGCTCGTTTCTTTCTCCTTTCGGACGGTCCGATATTTGCGGCCAGCACTGCAGTCGGAGGCGGCAAGCTTTTCGTATCAAAGTGCAGTCGGCGCGAGTGAGATAGAGACGGATCTGTCTAGGCCTGCGGGGTGCGCGGGGCGGCCAGGCGGATGTCCGAGGAGGCGGCGCTAAAACAAATACTGACCCTTTGGCGTCCTCGTGGCCACCGAGACCGTCGGTGTTTACCTCTCGGCCTCCTTGTGGCCGGCGTGGCCGCCGCCGCCGAGCACGCCGCCACGCCGCCCGACGCGCCCGGAACGCAGCCCAACGGGCACGGGCGTCGCGGGGCTGCCTGCCCCACGGCGCTCTCTGTCCGTCCAGCGTTCAGCAGCCTCCCGGGCAGTCCGGGACAGCATCCGCTCGAACGCAGTGGTGGCCGTGAGCGAGGTGCTTTAGACGGACTTCCAGTGGAGGCGCCTTGTGTCTCTCTTTCTGTCTCGTGCGAGGGTCTTGGCAAACACGGCGGGGCCCGGGGCAGACTGCGAGACAGAGCCAACAACGCTGACAACTTGGGAGGAGAGAGGAAAGAGGAGGTCTGTATCCGTGAAAACACGCGCGAAAATAAAGTTGACAAAGGCGGACTGGCGCGGCTCTCTGTCCCTCTCGCTCGCACGTCCCGGATGGCTGTGCGGAGCGGGCGCGAGAGAGACAGAGACAACCGTGCGGAAGCGGTGGCGCGGCGGGGAAGGAGTTTCAAAGAGAAGCCCAACGCATGCTGATGAGGGGAATCAGTGCCTCGGCGGGCCAAGCGCCGAGCCCCGCGCCCCGCCCCGAGTGCCTTTGGTGCCGCCGAGCACTTCCCTTTTATTCCTCCTTCTGCTGTCTGTACCCCACGAGTCTTTCCCCGGCTGTCTCTCGCGCACGGCGTACGGGCGGATCAATGTCTATGCGGTATGCTCTTAAAGTCTCCGGTATTGCCGTGCGAGCATCATACGTGTAGGGTAGTGTCTATCAATGCCGCAGACCCCAAACCGAAAACTAGTTTTGCATGTCGGGGTAATGTGGGACGTGCCCAGAGTCACATTGGGGTAGACACAGCCACACCACACACCGCCTGCCTTTCCGTTATTTGGGAGCTGCGCCCCCTGGCTGGGCCAAAGTTTGCAGTGAGCGGACCTACGACGGACAGGGGCAGGGATTGGCATTGATTAGCGCGGGAGAGACAGAGACCATTCGAAATCAGCTTGCTGGAGGCACCATAAAGGACTGCGTGATTTCGTTCCGAGTTCAAATATAGGGATTTCAATTGCAGTTAACAAAACAGGTGAAACAAAACAAACAAACGAACGAAACGAACCTGTTCGCTTTTCCCGCTTTATTTTTTGTTTTTGTTTTATTGAGATGGGCTGCCGCTGGTGCCGAGGTGAATCGGAAAGCCGGGCTACTGTACATAAATCCGAGTGTTTCAGCTAATTAACAGTAGCGGGTCGGATCGGCCCACCGCCCGAGCGGCCCGAGCCAACGCCGCCAGAGCCGTACGCGTTCCGGCCGGCAAGCGGCGCCGGCGCGTACAAACGGACTTTCAAAAAACAACAAGCAGAAAGAGGGAAACCTATTATTTATGATGCACGCGAACTTCGCATCATTCTAGGTTCGGGAAATTTTGCTGCGGAAATGTGTGTGGCGCTGTGCGTCGCGTTGAGGTGTCACAGGGAGGCGCGCTTGGAGGTTGGTTCCGGAGACCGTCTGGCGGTCTGGCCCGCCGCCACCCTGTCCGCGTCGCCCACGTCGCGTCGCCAAGTCGCGCCACCGCGGCGGCCACGGCGAGACAGGACAGGCTGCTTGAATTACGACAAATTATTTCACGGCGCCGCGCTTCGCCGCGACACGGACCACTCCACTCGCAGCGCCGGCTGGCCAGTGCCGGTCGACCGCCCCTCCACCCTTAAAAGCTTCAAGTGCCAGAGTGAGAAATCCAAGGCACCGGTGTTTCTGCTGGGAGTGAGAGGTTAGAGAACCTTGGCGGCAAGTGGCGGGACGCCAGTGTGTCTCCACGTGAGGCCCGCCGCCTCGCCGCCCACCAAGCGCGGTTTGGGTGCCTCAGACCTAGCGAAGCTAGCGAAGCGTGCCCCGGACTTGTCCCGGACTTGTCCCGGACTTGTCTCGGACGCGTGACGGCCAGGGACTCCCAGCGCGGTCCGCCCCATCAGCGTTTTACAAGGCGATGCCGGCCGACCCGCGCCGCGCAGCCACGCCCCGCGTGCCCATCCACGACATGATAAACCCATTTGCAGGAGCCGGGCTATCGCGACGGGAGGGCGGGGCGTGGCGGGGCGGCGGCGGCGCGCCAGTCGAACTGCAGGCGGCGAGTAAATTAGATTATTTGGCGACTATTTGGGAAGGAACATCCCGCGCGTTGTTTGAATGCCCCTCGCCGCCCCTCGCCGCCCACTGGTTCCTTCCTTTTCTGTTTCCGTCGGCAGATTTTAATTGACAAGCGGCGGGGCGGCGCGTGTCCGACGGAAGCGGCATCCAGACAAGCTCCCTCCGGACTCAATGGAACGCAAGCTGAGTGGTTAGCGTATCAGTTTTATATAAAGGAAAGTGCTGGTTCAAACACTAAATGTTTTCATTTTTTCACGTTCTAAGTTGTTTACGATATGCTCTTTCCCTATTGACTGCCAGTGCCGGCACATCGTATACGCAGTCTACGCGCTATTTGCAGATAGGGCCCCGTTCGGCCGGCAAACTCAGTGAGAAAGAGAATCCTTGCCACCGCAAAACTTCCCCGTGGCGCCGCGGCCACCCCTCCGGCCCCGCCCCGCCCCGCCCCGGTCCCCTACGGCCTACGGTCCCCGCCCCGCCCCGCCCGTGTTTACGAACTGTGAAATGGACAGTAATAGAATTTGTTCCAGGCGGGAGAGCAGCGCCTCTGAGCCTCAGCCTCTGCCATGCAAATGAAGCTTGCAGGGATACCGGACGTACCGCGGTGCGTTCCTCGGGGTCCTGGGGGTCCTGGGCCACGTCACGTGGCCGGGACCGGCGGGCCGCCCTCCGTCCTCCACTACACGGACGCCGCGATCTTTGCCGCCATCGACGAGCTGCCAGACCAACAGACTTGTGGAATGGATGTGTGATCCTCCTGCCGAGAGTATGTGTCTCAGCGATTGTTGATGTTGTTGTTTTGATCCGTCTATTACTTGAAGTTGCCCCCGTGTCCGGGGGCGCTTGTAGAGATGCGTGTATACTACCACCAGCTGCTGCTCCGTGTGTGCGTGCACACACACGCAAACTCACTCTCTGCAGGGCGATCCTTTTGGCGCCTGATCTCGGATACAAACAGTGGCACTTGCTCCCTTCCCGCGGCGTGTCGGCACCCTGCGCCCTGGAGCGTGGCGGAGAAAACACCGGCCAATAAGGAAGCCCAGCGATGCGGGGCGGGGCGGGGGTGGCGACTGTCAACACAGCGAGCACCGCCCCGGCGCTACAGCCGCGCTGCCGCGCTACAGTGCGACACATGTCGTGTCAACTGTGGCACCCTCCGGCAGGCCGCGCCGTGCCGCGCCACGCCGCGCCACGCCACGCCGCGCCACCCCTCCGGACATGTGTCGCCGTGTCAACAACAAAGGGGTGCTTGTAATCGCCGTCACTGTTCCACGGTCGCTCCAATAATCCCCTTTTTATACAGTAGTACTCGTTTTGTGATTTGTCGTCTGTTGTATATACGACTTTGCCCCACAAGGACGTCACCAATGAAAGACAGCCAGGTGGCGGATTTATAATATTTGAAAAGAAATTTATTTTTACAATAATTACAATACTTTTGCAACAATAATAAATACATTTTTTCATATTAATCACACATCGAGCGTACAAGCTAACCGTAATCTTACAACAATAGCATTCCACATAAAGACAGACACTTTTGTGCAAGTGACACTTGAGTAACTATTAATACTGCCTTTGCAGTTCTTAAACAAGAAAAAAATCATAAAAAATCACAGCGTTAATGGAAAACAAACGTCAATGTACAATAAAAGGTGGCTCTATCAGTGGCTCATAGTTTTATCGAGGTGGTCAGTTCGATTTCTTGTACAATGTTCTTCATTCAGTCACAACAAACTTCTCCAAAACACCATTGGAATTTGGGTTCGGTGCTCGGAAAATAGGGGAGTCTTTTAACATGCGCCATTTGGTGCCACACAAAGCGTTCCAAACAAGCGAAAAAGGGAACTATAAGATCAGTTGGAGTTTCATCCATTGTGTAATTGAGCACTTGAATCAACTAAACATAGAGCTTTGAGGATACCATGGACTTCACTTTAAATTATAAAATGGAACTCCACTATACAATGACGATCCGCACAACTTCCTAACAAATAAATAAAAACAAAACAATTATAAAACTTGGTGGCCATTTCGATTTCTGCCCTTTCTTTGCTGCCGTCGTGCGGTTCAGCCAGCTTCATATCACAGTGCAGTGGTGGCGGCTTCGGACGCGAACCTCCTTCGGGATCTTTTCACTCGGGAGTCCCGACCACGAGCAGGCCGTCAAATGGGGCAACAGGGCGCTCTTTGGTAACTGTGGTGCTGTCCGCGCTGTCCGCGAGGGGGCGCAGCAGTCGCCGGGGGCCTAGCAGTGTAGCGGCGTCACGGGCCCCGGCCGGGGGGTGGCTGCCGGGGGCGGCGCGGGGGTTGACGGGGGCCGCTCGACGCGGAGATCCCCCGGCGCCCCGCGGTGGGCGCGCACGGCCTGGGCCGAGGCCTGGGCCCCCAGGGCGTCCTCTCATACTTCGGACTTCATGCAGTGCAGCATGGAGTCCTGCGAGAGCTCGTCCATGGAGGACGCCTCAGAGGGTGTAGCTGCAACAGCAAAGGCAGCCACATGAATACCGAGACGGCTGAGTGGGCTGAGGCGGCCGAGGCTCGGCCCGAGGGCTGCAAGGAGAAGCAAACGCGTTACTAGAAAGCTCCAGACTGTTAGATTAAAAACTTCAAGAGCGGCAGCGCGGAAAAAATAGAGTGACGGCGGTATTTGAACCCCGGGGCTTACCGTGGTCGGGGTGGTAGAACTGCTGCGACGACGGCGGCGGCGGCGGCTTGCCATGCTGCCCGCTGAACGAGTACGTCAGGTGCAGGTTGATGTGGCCGCCGAAGGATCCGTCCGACGAGTCCCGCGAGAGGTGCGCCGCGGGGTGGTGTGCTGCGGCACGGAGAGAGCAAGGCGTCAGTGCAGTCCAAGGTTCAAAATATTTTTTAAAAATTAAAAAAAAATATACAAATATTTGGAAGGAATTTGTAAAATGGTGCTGTGACCGCTCACCTTGCGACTTGATCTTGTTGTTGTGCAGGTGCTTCTTCTGTCGCGCCCTGGCGTTCTGGAACCAGACCTGCACCACCCGCTTGCTCAGCCCCGTGACCTGCGCGATGCGCTCCAGGTCCTGCCCGTCCGGGTTCGAGTCCAGCACGAAGTTGGCCTGCAGCACCTGGAGCTGCTCCTCGGTGAAGGTGGTGCGGACGCGCTTCGCCTTGTTCTTGTGGTAGCCCTCCGAGTCGCCGCCCTCTGCAAACAACAACGCCGACGTCAAGAAAAATGCTCGCTGCACCCACACTGACATTCTTATTTTTCGCTATGGCTGCAGTTTGAAAACAAAAATACGCAAAGAGACGGGGGAAAAGTACGGCAGAGCCGGCCGCGAAAACGTGCAAAAACTGGGAATGGCATCTCGTTGAAAGTCCGGACCACGCCGGCAACTCGATCGAGAAGTGGCCAGTGAGGGGCCCAACTCTGGGGTGGTCGAAGGCCCCAAGGCCCCACGGCCCCGAGGGGTGGGGGGAGGGTTGGACAACACGGTGGGCGGGGCCTAAGCGTCGCGCGCCGACGGGGGAGAGGGGTGGGGGAGTTGGCGACACGCCGAGCCATATTCGCGGCATGCTTCATCAAAATTCAAACCAGCCGAAGCGCCAACTCCAAGAGAAAAAGGGGTGGGGGAAGAAAAGAAAAGGTGGCACCGAAGTGGCGAAGCGCCGGGACTCGAACCCGGTTCCCGCCGGTTCGAGAAATCTGGGTGTGTAGGTAGGGCGGGGAAAGACAGTGGGGCGACGGCCCGACGGGGTGACCAAGGGACTGGGGGAGGCTGGCTGCCCGCCCGGTCGGCAGAGGCAAGGCTGGCTGCTCCAAGCCCTCGAAGGGCTGGAGCGAATAATAGCGACAATCACTGCCCTCCCCTGGCGGCCTGCGCGGCCGATTCTGCGCTGTCTCTCTCGCACTCACGGGGCGCACCGCGGGGGTGCGAGAGAGACGGAGCGACGCACGGTGGGTTGGAAATCAGACTACTGGCGGCACGCCCCAGCGCCACCCCGTGGCTACACTGCCAGTGTCTTGAGAAACGCGTGCAAGTTTCTACAGTGCGTGCACCCATTCAAACTCAACGTTCAATACCAACCACCAAAACAGAAAAAAAAACCGATAGTAAAAATGAAAAGAGCAAAAATGGCACACCTCTAGACGTCCTACTCCCGGCACTCCCACACGAGGACGACATGGAACTACTGCTGCGCTCACCGTCGGACGAGGTGCTGCCCAGGTCCATGGTCTCCAGGTAGTGCGTCTTGCACAGCACGCGGTTCTCGAGCAGCGCGAACTCCTCGCCGGAGGACAGCTGGCGGTGGCACGCGTCGCACGCGAAGCAGGCCAGGTGGTACACCAGGTCGCGCGCCTTGCGCACCCAGTCGCTGGCCGAGATGGAGCGGCAGCACTTGGAACACTTGGCGCCGAACATCCTGACAACAAAAACGACACCGTTACACGCCGAACAGACGGACCATCGGCCCTGCTGGGGCCTCGGGGTTCGGGGGTTCGAATCCCGTCCCGTTTCCTTTTTCTTCTCGCTGGGATTGACCCCCACCAATCAAACCGACGCCCGCGGTAAGCAGGGCCAAGCAGGGCTGGCTACGTTTCTCTCGTCAGTCTCCGAAATCGGTCCGGCCGCCCCCCGCAGTCCGCCTAGGCCGCACCAGTGGTGTGTGTGTGTGTGTGAGTGTGTGTGTTCTTTTTTTCCTCACACGTGAAATGACGAATGGGTGACACTGCAAGACATCGCAGAGCGGCTGCTGGAGCGCGCGACGCGGCAGTTATCAACAGCAGAGCATTCCTCGAGCGGTCCGAGCGGTGGCTCTGTCTCTCTCGCACCCAGCGCGACGCGCCGCGAGAAGGAGCGACAGAGAGAGACAGACAGAGCGACGCCGTTCGGCCGGTGTCTGTCGGGGCCATCGTTCTAACACCTTAGTAGCGCTAAGCCGATCTTGTGTTATAACTCTCTTACCAAGGTAATATTGTGTTGGACGGGCCCGTGTTCCCCGAGTGCTCCGTGTGCCCCGCCGTCCACTGCGAGGTAGCCCGGCCGGCGGCGCGGCCCCGCGCGGCCCGGCAGCCAGCAAAGCCAGCCGGGCAGAGAGGCGCCCCCCACTGGGAGCACTGGGTCCCCCGGGGTCCCTGTGCTGCCGTGCCGCTGGGGCACGCCCCGCCCCGCCCCGCCCCGCCCGCCCCGCCCCGCCCGCCCCGCCCCGCCGCCCCCCCGCCCGACACCTCGCGAGTGCCCCTCCCGACACCGCACCTCCATCAGGCCGCAGCTGACCGCAGCAGCGGGGAAAAGGATTTTTCAGCGGACAACCCCCGGCGAGGGGAATCGAACCCGCGACGTGCCGCTAGATCGAAGCGATCCGTCACCGTCGGCCAGAAACACCGAGCACCGCCCGCAGGGCCGTACTACTTTCGAACGCACGTCAAGTGTGGGTGTGAAATCTGTGACGGACACCGTGAGGCAACCGACAGAGGGTGTCGAATTCATACAAACAATCGACATTTTTCTCATCTTCGTGGTAAAAAATTTGAGATATACTTTAAAAATGGCAACTTTTTTGTGCCTATCCCGCAGGACGGGCACGCGAGGGAGCTGTATCGTCTTGCAGTGCCGCAGCGCCGCGCACGTCTTCGGCCCCTCCCTCTATCTTCATTTGCCAGTCGCTCTAAATCTACATCTCTATAACTCGCCGCGGCACGCCGCGCACAGTGGCGGCCAGCCTCGCGGCCAGCCGTAGCGCCGTCTCTCTCGCACCCGCAGGCCGACCGGGCCAGGACCGGGCGGCCCCGCGAGTGCGAGAGAGACGGAGCGAGAGGAGCCGGCGCGCCGATCGCGTCGAATCGGATCGTATTTTCGGTAGCCGGGCGGGGCAGCCATGGCGGCAGCCATAGCGGCGCAGCGACAACCACTAATGCACGGAACGTGCCACACGGCCGGCAAGCCCCGTCTCTCTCGCTCTCGCGGGGCGGCCCGCAGCGGTGCGAGAGAGACGGGGCGACGAAGGCGGCCTTCGGACTTCCAGCAAGCTTCCAGCGGGCGTCCAGAGAGCTTCCAACGACCTTCCAGACTGGCGGCCGCGAATCTCAGCCGGTTTTGAAATGAGCTTCCGATCGGCTTTCCAGACCGGGTTTCTGGGTGGGTGCACCGTTCATCCGGACGCGCACTACCGGAGAGGACAGCGGAGTTCAGGGTGAAGTCAGTCGTCAATGTTCAGAGAAGAAATTCCCGGGCGGCCAAAAGTCACCCACTCGGGTGAAATTAGGATGTTCCCGAGCTGCAGACGGGAGGCGGCCTGAGCTTTTCCCTGCCTCACACTGCCACAAACACTCACTCACACCCTCTCTCTCGCACACGCTTGATGTAGTCCGGGTACACTTTATGTTATGACCAGGTCGCTAATCTGGCCCCCCTCTGAGAGCTTCATCCTTGGCGCGTGAGAGAGAGGGAGCGGTGCTGCGGGGGCGAAATTATTAATGTTGTACATCAGGATGAAGGCGCCTACATTCGAACACCGCGATGACCGGACGGATAAGCATGGCAACCGTAAGATCGGAGTCATGCGGCCGAGGGGACCAATTTTTACCGGAAATGGCAAGCAGACAAATGACGTCTGGGAGATAAGCGGAGGGAGAATGGGGAACCGTGCCAAGCCAAATAACGGACAGCAGAAACATGTTTGGAGATTTCATTCAGTTTTCTCTTCTTGAAATAATAGCCTCTTTTCTTATTTTTAAATTTAAGAAACCTAAAAAAAATGCATTGAGCAGTGCAGTGCGCATGCAGAGGACGTGGTGGGAGTCGCTAAGCCTGCATACGCTAACGCTGCTTAGGCCTGTCAAACAAAGAGACGGTAGCGTCGCATCCCGGATTTGTTTCCGAGACAATAGTTGTGGACAAATCGCCTCTTTCCAGGTGCTGGGCGGGTCGCGCGCTAGAGACGCGTGTGGGGCTGGGCTCAGCCCAAGTCAGCCACACTGCCAAAAGCGGGCCCTTTTTTGCGGGACTGTCCGGCCTTTTGCGGCAGAGGAGCTCCGGAAGGACCTGTCCATTCGTTAACTGCGATTCCACACAACGACTACATCCAACGACCCTCTCTTCGAGAGAGAATCCCGCACTCTGCAACAGGGCCCAGCCCAAAAGCCCCCTTGTTAGCGGGCCACGCAATGAAATAAAACTTTTTAAACTCGCCCGATCGGCGTGACAAAACACACTCACACGCCGAGGACGGCACGAGCCGATCCCCGGCCGATGGCCAAAAGTGTGTTGTAAACAGGAGGCTAAGACGGGCCGACATTCAATCGGCAATCACGTCAGGAGAGACACGAGTAAGCCGGATCGGAAGGGTTGCCCGATAGGGCGAGATCTCGATGCGAGATCTCGAAGCTCGAGCGTCCCAACAAACTCGCCAAGCCTTTTTCCCCTCCTAAGCACACACCTTAACAACTCGAGTCGTGCGGAACTTTGTCAGAGAGAGGGCCTCTGACTTTGGAAGTGTGTTGCAAGCAATGCTGTGCAAGTTGCGAAATTTCCTTTCATTTTTAGTCACCTAACCTAACTTTTTAAAAAGTTAACGGAAAGAAAACTACAACTATGGGATGAGTCTGGTGCGTGCTCAAGGCCGTCACCCTGGTGACCGACGTCACGAACGTCATGGACGCCGTCCGCGGCCGTTCGCGCCGACTCCCACGGTGGGCTGTCCGTCGAGGAGGGTCCGCGACGAGGGTCCACGACGAAGAGCGGCACAGTGAAGGGAGAGAAGGTGGAGCAGCGGCGGCCAGCAACCCCATAGAGATTCCCACGCAGTGACACCGCACATCTCACGGGGCACAAGGCAACTTCCCAGAACGGCAGGGCAGGGGAGGGGAGGGGGGTCCGGCGCTAAACCAACACAGACACACTATCAATGCTCCCGCGGGGCATGGACGGCCATAGAGAGCACCACGACGGAACGGTACCGCGCCGAGCGAGCGAGCGCGCACGCAAGCAGGACACAGAAAAAAAAGAATTGGAGCAAATCACAGCAGTTTTCCGGCTGTTCGTGTTTTTAAAATTTATTCCAAAAGTTTGCTGTTTTCTTTTTAATTAAGAGCCAGTATTTTTGTTTCAGTTTTTCTTTCTGTAATTTTATTTTGAAGTGGTGCCGAGTTGGTGCCGAGTTGTGTAGTGTCCGTGAGAACGCCGTGAGCCACCCGAAGCCAGCCGTAGGGCCGAGGGGCCGGCGGGATGACCACCCCTGGTGGGGTCACACCGCCAACAAGCGGGCCGACAAGGAGGTGTGATGCTATCGCCTCTCTTTGAGGGCGGCGCGGCGCGGAGAGGCGGTCCTGGACGCGGGCGCCTCGCCTCTCGTTTCGTTTCGACATGTCTGCCCACAATGCAATGCAACAGCGACCACCTCGTCATTGGCGTTCGCGGAAGACCATCGAGTCTCACGCTCCGATCGAGATCTCGATCGATAGCACCGCGATCAGCGCACTTGTTTTCGGTAATTGTTTTTCCGACCTCTGTGACGGGGCTGGAGCGATGACCTACTACAGAGCAAACATCATAACGTATTCAATCGTTGAAATCTAAACAATAATTAAAATAAAGTTGTCAATATTTGAACGGTTAAATAAATTAAATTCGTGGTCCACCAATTTCAGTAGTAACTTGCGTTCCAAAATGCAAATAATTACCATGGCATTTAAACAAGACCGCACCCCAGACGTACGTTTACAGCAACATAACACACACATCCAAACTCCCACAGAGAGGGGATTTGAGACGGGCTCGCTCTCCCGGGACGGGTGAGCGGGGTATACAGCATACTATTATTGCCCCCGGAGAGTCCGCTGTGGGGCCTGCCCCCCTCTCTCTCTCTCTCTCTCTCTCTCTCTCTCTCTCTCTCTCTCTCTCTCTCTCTCTCTCTCTCTCTCTCCCCTCTCTCTGGGGAGGCGAGGAATGACGACAATCAACTTGAAGTACAAGTCCATCCCGGTCCATCCCGCACGCGCGGTAGGTGTCAAAAGTCCCACCTCACAGAGACCGCACACGCACGCCTCACACACATGCCCACACTCACACACGCACAAGGTCGCGCCCTTACAAATGAGACAGCGACCTCCGGCACCTCCGCCCTCCAGATCGACAGCCGTTTGTCAAGGGAGCGTGCTGCACACTGCCAGGCACCCCCGGCGCACGAGTATCTTGTCAAAATAACGATCATCCTCTTTTGGCCGCCGTCCGTCTGAGAGGAGTCATATTTCGAGCAGCAGGTAGGATGGGCATAGGAGTGGCGGGAGGTGGAGAAAATTGAAGAGTCGTTTGGGGAAACAGTGCTTTAACTCGCGGAATCAAAGTGTTTCGCACGGGCTTGAATAGATAGAAAAGTTTCGGAAAACTCCCTTTTTTAATGAATCAATATTGGAGGTCTTTGAGGGTGTGCCACCGACAGTCTCACTTTTCCCCTCGTTAAGAGTTCGGAAATAAAGTCAGCGCCTTGCCCGGAGCCTACACCGGCGGCGAGGACCCCCCATGGGGCCCTGGCAGCGGCCTGCCTCCGCCGTGCCCCTGGAAGCCCCCCTGGAGGCCGTCGAAGGCGAGAGCAACGCCTTGGGTTCGGGGTCGCCCTTCGGTCCTTCGGTCCCGGGTCGGCGCGAGGTCGGCCCGGTGCCGCTCTGCGGTCCGTCCTGGAATGGCTGCGGCGGTGTTCAGCTAGGACCGCGCCGCCAGGGTAGTCAGCCACTGGCAGCTCGGCGAGTTTCCGGTTCGCAGTACAGTCGCGCACAGTCGACTGTTCGCAGTACAGTCGCGCACAGTCGACTGTTCGCAGTACAGTCGCGCACAGTCGACTGTTCGCAGTACAGTCGCGCACAGTCGACTGTTCGCAGTACAGTCGCGCACAGTCGACTGTTCGCAGTACAGTCGCGCACAGTCGACTGTTGGCAGTACAGTCGCGCACAGTCGACTGTTTGCAGTACAGTCGCGCACAGTCGACTGGCATGCACGTTCACGTTAGCGCACGTTAGTGGGCGGGTCGTGCCCCGGCCGGACAATGCCATACCACAGTGACTAGGAAGGGAAGGCCAGAGAGATGCACCCGAATTCGTGCGCCGAAGCGGACACGAATAATAAGGCCGTGCCTTGCCGGCGGGGCCCTCTGTCCAAACATCGCTCACTCACGCTGCCGCCATCGGTCAATCCAACACGTTCACGGGGCCGCATCGCACCGCACCGCGAGGCATTCCATCGACACAGCACGCCAGCCAGATGCCTTCGACCCTCCACTTTGTAACTTCTCTCGACGACCAGAGTCAGTTCCTGCTGAATCGGCGACCGCGGCGCGTGGCCCAAACGGACCGCACGCACTTTCACGATGCTCGACCACTACGTCCGCCGCGACCGCTCCTGTACATGGCGCCGGCCGGCCCAACGGCGCCGATGTCAGCTGCGACTGAACAGTGCGATGGGCGGCAGGCATGCAGGCGATGCAGACGTGCCCGCCCCGCCACCGCTCCCTTGTTTATGTGTGGACATGATTTACACCACCGGCAGCCAGCCAGCCCAACGGCAGCCCAGTGTAGCTGCAGCCTGGACCGGTACAAGTCTTAATTAAAAAATAATGAACTCAGGGCTCGCGATGGGCGGCACTGCCAGGCACTGCCCTCTCAAGGCTCGGCCCGCCGCCGCCCGACCGGCCGGCCGACCACTGCCCGCCACGCCGGACGCTCCCGACTGTTTATTCCTGTAAACAAACGAGCGTCGCGTCTCCCGCCCACGCGCCGCCGCCGCCCGAGTTTCGCGCCAATTCGCTGCCGGAAAAATTGCCGATTATTCCCATTTCGGAAAACATTAAAAATTGAAAACTAATGGAGCGGAACCCACTCTTTGCTCCAGATTTGCATGGACTTTCCTCAGACTCGAACGGAGACGCGGCATTGACGCGCTGCCTCTAACGACGACAGACGGAAACAACAACAACACGGACATGGCGACGCGGGGCTTGACGCGGGGGAGGCCCAGCTCGGCCCAGGCGGGGACCACGACGACGCACCTCATTGTGTCCGCCGGGATAGCGTCCCGCCCGGGTCCGCCTGCCCCGCACGGCCCCGCCAGCACCTGTTGCGTCAGCGCGGAGTCATTTATCAGCCTTCCGGAGACACCCGCAGCGGTACCGCACCCCCAGACACGCCCCTCTGCGTGTGTGTGTGTGAGGTGGCCGAGTCGATTCATAGAAAGGAAGGCACCCTTCACACGGCAGCACCCTTCGGCTACCTCGCGTCGTGTAATGATAACCAGGTGCGGCTAAAAGAAACGCCACCTTTCTTTTTTCAAAACGAGGCAAACCGTCGTAACGACACACCAGAAAAGTCCACGCAATCGGTGTGGGAGACTTCAGCATTTTTTTTATTTCAAAATTTTCTACTTTTTTCCGGCGGTGTAGCCGTAGTGCTAACACCGTACGCTGACAAATCCTGTGTTCTGCACCGCCTGGCCCCGCGCAGCGCGCAGGGCGGAGGACTTGCCCGGGGCGTCCCAGCGCGGAACAGAGGGGGTTTACTCCCCTCCGGCTCCACTTCGGCTCCGCTTCGGCTCCGCTTCGGCCGCCTCCGAGCGCGACACCTGTCATCCCCGTCCCGATTTATAGTGTTGCACGGCCTGTATGGGGAAGCCAAGCCAGTCCGAAGCCAGTCTGAAGCCAGCGGCGGCGCACGGTGACAGGGCACTACGCCCCCTGCTATCCGGCGGCGGCGCGCCAGCCAGACGCTGCAGCCACACCGAGCCACACCGCCACACGGACTCGGTGCGCGTATCCACCCACCCTCCTCCTTCTCTTGCACCGAAGGAATCCGGATTCAAACTCCGGGGGTAAAAAAGACTGACGAAAAATAAAATAACAGCACCACGTCATGGCGTAAGAGAAGTCGATCGAAACGTCCCCAAGAAATTGGACTTACTTGGAGTAGTCGGCCCGGCAGTACAGCTGGTCGTCGCGCATGAAGCAGCTGGGCTCCTGGTCCAGGGCGACGCGGCACACGGAGCAGCGCAGGCAGCGCACGTGCCACCAGCGCTCCGACACCTGCAGCACCCACTGGTCCGTGATCCGCTGCACGCACTCGGCGCACACCCGCGCACCGTGCGCACCGTGCTGCCCGGACTCGGACTGCAACAGAACGCGGAGTCAGAGGCAGGCAGACGGACAGGCGGACGGACAGACAGACAGACAGACAGACAGACAGACAGACAGGCAGACAGACAGACAGACAGACAGACAGACAGACAGACGGACGGACAGACAGAGAGAAAGACATCGTATCACTGGAATGGACTACTTGCTCTACTTCGTCTCCAAGGAGGGTTTGCCCGGAGCTCGGCCCCGAGGATGGGAACCGGGAGGCGTCGGCCCTAGAGGCCCTAGGCCCTGCAGGGCTCCGCGGGGCGCGTCGCGGGGAAGGTCCCTAAGGACACGCCAAACGCTCTCACGACGCGGACCTCATTGTCGAGGACAAAGGGGGCCCAGGGCAGCCTGGAGACGGGGTCACCGACGTGCGGCGCGGGCTGCGTCGGACACTGCACTATTGCATCTTATCGGTAATTTTTTTTCGGGCGGCTGGAGAGGATCAATGACTGGACTCACCTGCGACTGGGACGGCAGCGCGGGCTCCGCGGTGGTGGCCCTGGCGGGCAGCGGGCTGGACGTCGGGCTGCTGGGGTTGGACGCGGGCGTCGTCTCCTCGTCCGCGTCGCTCCACCGCCGCTTCCTCGACACCGCGCCCACTGAGCCCACGGACACCTGCGGGACGGAGAGGACGCCGTGTGAAAATGAAGAGTCGATGGATCGGTTAATCAGAGGGGGGGGGGGTAATTAAAGCACGCGCTGCAGGGCGCTGCAGGAGAGGATGCAGCGGGATGCAGCAGCGCGCCAAACAGCGCGACACGCTGGACAGCCTGGGGCCCTGGGCCCCGCGGGGGGTGACCCCGAGCCGGCCGAGCCCAGCAAGGCAGTGCCCCAAAGGGGGTCTCACGCGCGGGGCGAGCACCTCGGCGTTCATACGAAACCGCGCCCGGTGTATGGTCGGGTCACCCTTTACTCGTGAAAGTTTCAGGTTTTTTTTTCTCGTCCCGAGAGGCTGCGCTGTCTGTCTCTCTCTCCCAGCCGGTTGATGGTTCCCCGTCGCTGAGCACCAATGGGACGCGAGGCGGCGCGAGGCGGCGCGGAGCCGCGACGTGTACCGACCCGGCCGTCCGACCGCGAAGGTGCCGCGCAGCCGCGGTGCAGCGGACCAGCGGGCCCGACTCGCCTCGCCTCCATTGTGACGGCCACACTGTTAACACTCCCCCTGACCCGATTTTCCCTTTTCGCGATTTCTGTGTGGTGGCTAGTGGGACCGCGTTTACGTTTGCCCTCGGGTACGGGGCGACCTGCGTGACCTCTCCGCTGACGAAACAGCGGAAGTCTTCATCGAAAAACGGGATTTAACTTCGGCCGCGTTCAATGCACGCCAGACTTCGCTGGCACTGCTGGTTTGTCTTTCGGTGCCGGTCGGGTCGGGTCGGGTCGGTCGCCCAGAGCGGCGAGCGGCAGCCTCTGGCGTCGTGGCACGGAGTGGCGGCTCGCTGAATGCCCGTGTGGAGAGGATGAAATACGTGCCTCTTAAACAACCATTTTATGCAGCGGCAACATCGAGAGGGCCTTCTTCGCGGCGAGCCGGAGGAAGGCGAGCCGGAGGAAGCCGAAGAAAGCCGAAGGTCAGCCGAAGAAAGCCGAAGTTAGCCGAAAGCCACGACCCCTTCTATATGCTAATCGCCTACGGCATGCTCGCTGAACGCCGCGCCCACCAAGGGTTGCTCTGGCAGGGGTGCGCCCGCCCCGCCCCCCCCCCCCCCGCCCTGCCCAGTAGGGACTTGTTACATACATTAGTACTCTTTATTGCCGGGGCCGCCGCGGTCACCCTGCACGGCGGGCAGTCGGGACAAGTTGTCCGGGGTAGGGCCCCTGCCGGCGAGTAAGACGTCCCAGCGTTTTGGAGCGGACGGTACACAAGTTATGTCCAGCCCGGGATATTCAAGTATTCACACGGGTGCCTGGCGCGCCTGGCAGCCTCAAGGAGGGGCCGCTGTAGGCTGTTGCCTGGCTGCTGCAGGCGCGAAGACCGAGAGGCCGAAGACTCAAAGGCCCGAGGGAGCGCTGCCCCCCTGATCCACATCCCCAGGTGACAATAATAAAACATTATTCAACTGTTGATACCGACCGAGGAGAACGCCTTTTGCCTTTTTTCCCCCCTCGCGTCTCCTTCTTTTTGCGTCTACGTGCTTGTGGTACAGAGCAGCCTCTCGCATGGCGTGAATGTATGGTTTCACCGTCCGCGCGATGCGCATGCCCAAAATGCTACGCGTGATTCTCAGCATTTTTTTAGCATCAGAAAACTGCGATCGGTTCAAGTTTTATTTCCGAGCTAGCGCCGAACCGAGAGAAAGATTTTCGTCCGAGGCAGGAATGTTTTGCCTGCTGGCCTCTTCAATAACTGCAGGCCGGGATACATTCAAGTCAAGGCATGACTGGTTGGTACCGATCCCCGCACCCCCTCCACCCAGCCTCCACCCAGCCTCCGTTCCAGCAGCGGTGAGCACTTCCAACCGACTCTCAACACATAAATCATTTTACTTCTTAATACAGAGAGCTAGAGCGCGACGTACACATACGATCTGCCCCTGTGTGTGTGTGTTTGTGTGTGTGTGCGTGTGTGCGAGCGCGGTGTGGACGTCAGAAGGAACGCATGCTATCAAGGAAAGCAACCCTTTCAAGCTGGCTCCATTTTCGTCCGCCACTTCCTCCATTCCCGAAAGGGGTCAGCTAAAATAAAAATGCAAAATAGGGAGCGTTTGCTACCCGCAAAAGGAATTCATGAAATAGAATATGGGACTGAAAAAAATCCCTTGCGGCAAACACCACTGGAAAGAGATTATACATCAAGCAAAGGACGGAAGGCGCTGTCAGAGTGGAGACTTTAGTATCCCTCTTCTTTATTTTCCGAGACCGGCTGTCTGCGACTCACACGTCCAGGCCGCGGCCGCCGGCATCAAGAAGCCATTAGACGCGTTTAAACGCGCGGGCCGTGCACGGGCCTCGTTCAACGCCTGCTCAACAAGTGGATCCATCCGTATCACACGAGGTTACACAAGGCGCAGCACGCTTTCGAGTACAGTCGCGCAAAAGGCGCGCGCTCCGCTCGCTTGCCCTGCGGACGGCCGCGAAGCGGCAGCTGCTTCCTCGTCTTTGAAAGGCATCTTGGTGATATCGCGGCGGGGGGCGGCCCCAGGCTGCCCCAGGCTGCCCGACGCCCGACCAGACACCTTTTGCACCGGGGCCGCCGGCCCAGCAGGCTGCTGACTGGCTGCTGGGGGTCGCGACAACGGACCCAAATCACCCACTTTCAAGACTACACTCCCCCAAAAAAATTCGATACATTTTTCCGATAAGTTTAAGAAACGAAGAGAAAAGTTTCTGGTAGGCGGGGGAGTGTGTGTCGATAGGAGTACCAGCCCGTAAGACTTATGAACTACACTTTCAAGCACACTTGAAATCTCCGTGAAAAAAAAGAAGAAGAGAAGAGAGTGACGGAGAAGAAGTGTTACTCTCTTGAGCTCCTGGCCGCGGTAACTCACAACGCACTCATGAAGACGCCATTATCCGATCGCCGCGTCTAATCTGATTTCGAGGTCCAGGCCGTCGTGTCCTGCCCCTGCCGTTGCCGGGTCGTGCGTTGTCCCGCGGAGTCTATTAAAAGCCGGCGACTCCTTAATCTCCCACACAAAGGCAGCAGTCTTGTTGCCAACAACTTCGCGCACCCAGCCCGGCGGCGGGGCGGCACGCCGGACCGCCTGGGACGACCCGGACGTCGCCGACGACGTCGCCGAGGAGGCCCCAAAGTGGCCCACTCTGTACGCGCCCCCCGTCATTGTGCGCGCCAGAATGGCCAGAATGGCCAGGAACGAAAAGCAAAGGCAGTGACTTGGGTGACAAAAGCGGTTCGGTTCGGCAGTGGCCGGCCGGGCAGCCGCCCTTCGAGCAGGCCCGACAAAAAGTGGCGCAGATTGACAAAGATCGGTGGGCTCGTGCCAGCGCCACGCCTGGTGCCTGGCCACGCCCCGCCCTTTTGTGCCAAGGTGTGCCAAGACCAACACGCACACACACACACTCACACACGCTTGAGCGCATGTCCCTTTCCGGGCGGTTTACCGATACATTGTATATGATGTCCTGCCGCCCGCCCCGCACTCGACACCGCAATTCCAAAGCCATCGACTGCTTTCAAAAACACACGCACACACACGAGCAAACAAATAAATGGACGTAAAACTTGGATTCCGCCATAAGGTGTATGGAATTTGCGGGCTGTCCGCACTGTGCGCGCGCTCCCTGCCCCGCCCTGCGTTTGAGTCTCCGGACAGGCAGGCAGGCAGACAGGCGGGCGGGAGAGAGATGTAGCGACGGTGGGAAAAGGGGCGATAGCTGGTTCGGAAGCCGCGAACGCCATGTCGTTACAAGTGATGTAGTCTTTTACTGCCCAGCGGGTGCCAGCTCTGCCCGGCCGGGCCGGCCGACTGGCGGACAGGCGGACAGGCCGGCAGGCGGACGGGCGCTGCTTCAGGCTTATTCGAGCTTATTCGCAGCAATCCTCCGCCTCCTGTTTCGCGGACCTCGCTACCCGTGTTCCATCGGCACACTCTCCAAAAAAGGAATGTAGAAAGAAACATCGAACCGAGCTGGACCAACCTAACCTCAAACCGCAAACGCAAAAGTGACATTGGGAAAACTGTGGGAAACCTGCGAAGCGTTTGGACCCTCAAAGCAGAGTTCCGACTTGGTGGCGTGTGCTTTAGGGCTTTAGGCTGACGTTTTTATCGCCCTTTGACCAGCATTGCCGAGCATTGCGATGAAACATTGAATGAGGTATAAGGCCCGGTCGGCGCGGGTTCTATGCTTCATTGTGGATGTGCCCCCGCTGAGTACGACACCCTCTTTTCCCCTACTCACACTTTTTGTTGCAGTGTAGTGCATCGCAGGCTATTGATCTTTCCGGGCTGTCACCCGTGCCCTCGGGTTCCGAACGCTTCTTTCTTGTGTGCGTGTGAGCGTGTGCGTGTGTGTGAGTTTCGGCCGTTGACAACGTCCAGCATCCGGGGCGCGAGATGTACAGACGGTAAGGAACGCGGTTCGAATCTCGTTATTTTTTTTTCCACGTCAAAAGGCGCGTCGAACGTTTGGAATAAAAACAGACTTGAGAGAATTAAATAAATTTATGAATAAATAACGAACGAATTAAATGTTCTTTCTCATTTCGTTTCCCTTCGTGTTTTGCAAATCAAGTATAAGACGATTGTCGCAAGTGCGCCACACTGGCAGGCACGGGCGTGATAACCACGCTTGTCACGCGCACACCATTCGATACAGTAAATAATGAGTGGGACAGAGCGAGCGTCGTAGATAACCTGCACGGGCACTCCAATGGGCTTACACTCTATTCGACGCTTGACTCGGTACCCACACCGAAGGACACACACACACACAGTCTCACACACACGTACGCACACGTACGCACGCGCTCGCTCACAAGCCACTAAGAACTCCTCGATGTCCCCTCTCATGATCTATAACACCTCGCACCATCCGCGCACAAAAGTAAGGAAATATGACTCGAGTGTGACCGCGCCGCCAGGGCCGCCAGCCGGCGGGCCGAGCCGGGCCGAGCAGCAGGGCGTCCTGTCTGATCCGCCGCCGCGGAGCACGCG